TCCATCAAATCCCAAACATCATAAGAGGGCTTATATTTGATTTCAATGATCTGGAAATGTATCGAATGAGACAACTGTTTAGCTCAACCGCTCATATGAGAGATCCGGTGGCGAGGATTACGTCGGACCCCAAAACACACCCCGAAGTGAACCGCATTTTTCAACACAGAACTGATATGAGATGTCGACAGACAATCAAAATGTGTAAAACAATGACTGAATTCAGGGATTTGTGCGAAAACGACCAAATAATCCTATTGAAGACCTCTTGCTTCGAGATGTTGTGCTTCGTGTCTGTCCTTACGTTTGACTTTACTGACCAATTCTGGACCGTTTATATTGTATGTAATGTTTAATGAATGTTGTTTTATAACAGAGTTTTAATTTTGATGATGGTTGTTTTCAGGATTCAGAGAATGCGGCCATGCTCAGATTGGAGGCGCTAATAAAGTGGGGCAAAATGAATCTCTATGATATACTTATTAATTATATGTTTAAACTTAATCAAGAGTATAATCAGGACACAAACCTTATTGATTTGGTAAATACATTTTTACCCTTTACTTTGGATGTTTTCAATATTACAACACTTTAATTATCTGTATTTTTACAGTTAATGGCAATAATAGTATTCAATCCCAATCGACCAAATTTAAAGCAAACTGATCAAGTTATGTAAGTTATTGAATAAACATTTATCATTATTGTTATAAGTAATTATTAATTTGCTTTTTACCAGGCTTCAAAGGGAAACATATATTTATTTACTTCACCGCTATTTAGAGTTAAAACACAACTCAAAAACAGAGGCAGAGATACGGTTCACACGATTAATGAATTGTCTGCAAGACTTGTATACTTTGAGAAATGTCATGAAATCTAATTATATCTCAAGTGATCCTAAGAATGGACACGAATTGGTGATCGAAATCATATCATAATTAATGTAATAATAATAACATCAATTGTCATATAAATTATTCAATATATTTCGTATGTTTGCTAACTTTAAAGAGATATTATTCATATCATATGAATAGAGAAAATACAAAACTCTCAAATGCAGGACCAGAGATGTGATTCGTGTGGACAATGAACTAACCTCATAATATGTATTTATTGTATACAATAATGTTAAATAATTACATTTCAACCGAGTCTAAGAATAAGCACAAATTGGTCACAGGAAAAGTTTAACAATAATAAAAATTCCGGTAATAATAATTGGGAAATATTCAAACAAATAATACAATTGAAGGCATAGATTAGGTTTATTTTTAGCTCAATTTCCTACGATTTTCATTTGAAGGTTAGGATTACCTAAACATTAAATAATATACTATTTATATAAAAACACTCAAGTATTGCAACAACAAAAATAATCCAGGCAAACAAACCAAAAATGAATGAAAACTAAATTTTGTTCAAACCTATTAAAATGTCTTGTTACAAATTTTATTTTATAATTTAAATATAGTATATTTGATGTAAATTCTTATACGTTGTAAAATATATTATTGTACAATCCATATAATTAAAATCTAATTTAATTATTTAATGATTGATTGTTATTATTAGGTATCTTAATTTCTATGACAACTAGATATGTTTTTTAAATTCATAAAATATTTAAAACATTTTGTCATTATTGTGAATTCATTAATTATATTTAAATATATTATTTCTCATATATTGTGACTATATTTTGACACATAATAAAGTTAAATATAGTTTATAAAAAATAAACAAGAATCATGTATAATAATAATATTCTGCAAAAGTGCGGTATTATTAATTAAATCAATATGATATAGCCCATTTTATAATAGCCTATTAATAGGTCTTAAAATACTATTTTCTTATAAGGAACACTACTTTTTTAAATTGACCTTCTGTTTAAAATAATTAAATTTTTACCCATTACTAAAATCCCATTTGTAAAAAAATTGGGAAATTTTCCACCAATCCTATTTTCACTTTCCATGTATACCAAAGTGTATTTAATGTAATTAATACAGTAATGAATTAACTGTTTTTTTGTATAAACGTAGAAAAATCATAATTGATAATTGAATCAAATCAAATAATTTTAGAGACTTATTCCAGTGAATCAAGATAAATTAAATAAATAAACTATTTCAAATTTAGTGATCATCCAATATTGGTTTAAATTACATGTACAAAAATATAGTAAAACGACATGATTGCAAACATGCGCTCAATTGATACCATGAAAATGCACTTAAGTTTGCACTAAATCTGGTTGTAGTAACAGTTATACTGTACTAACAATCTGGTTGTCGTAGAAATACATGTTATACTGATTTTAGGCACATAAGAAATAAACAGCGATTCCTACACTTTAGTGCAAACATTGATGTTTTAAAGTAAACTTAATTTATAAATTTAATACGAATTATAACACTATTGAGTGTTTTGTTATTTGTTTATTTATTTTGTGTCTAAATCAATAATTCAAAGTTTTTATAGTAACCTACAATAATAGTTATAAAATGCCTAAGAAAGGTGTACAACAGTTAACGTGTAGAGTTTGTGGCGATAATTCTATCGGTAAGTATTATTTCATAAATGATTAAAATTTTAATTATTTTAATTACTATTTTACTAATCATTTAAATAATATTAGCGTTTAATTTTGGCGTTGAATCGTGTGAGTCATGTAAGGCTTTCTTTAGAAGAAATGCACTCAAAAATAGGGTAAATAATAATAAATTGTTGTAATAATACAACTGTTGCTGAATGTAATCAAAATAATTTTATAATTTGCATAATTAAAGGGATTTGTCTGTAAATATGGGGGCAATTGTGAAGTGGATGTCACTCGAAGACGCTTTTGCCGGAGCTGTAGATTACAAAAATGTTTTGCAGTTGGAATGAAAAAAGTATCACGTTCATTATCATTAGCTAGATTATTTATTAGTAAATGTTATATATTTTATAACACAATTCATAGGATTACATCCTAACCGATGAGCAGAAAAGTCAGCGAAAATTTTTGACAAAAGAAAACCGGAAAAAACGTGACGACAATAATAACAACAAATTGCAGAATATTCTGGACTTTGAAGGCATTGAAGGGTTTGAGGATTCGCTTGACTTCGAAGGAATGGAAATGTTTGACAATTGGCGTGATTTTGACGACCAAATGGTTCCCATCTTTCAAACGATCAATACATATAACAAGAATCTAAATGAGATGGAAATCTCGCGTTTGGGTGAACTGTTGAACGCCGCGGAACTTATCAGAGATCCCGTCAGCAAAATCACTGCCGAACCCAAGGATTTAGACGTAATTTTGGCCACTTATGGCTTTAAAATGGACCTCGAGTTAAGACGACTACCAGTGATGTGCAAACATTTGAGTGCATTCAGCACTATCTGCGAAGAGGACAAGTATGCACTCGTGAAGGCCGGTTGTCTTGAGATAATAACCATGCGTTCACTCATTGCATACAATAATGATAACCAGTACTGGACTATAATTTTGGTTAGATTTAAATGACGTTTAACTTGTTTTTGAATAATTTTTAATATTCAATGTATTCCGTGTGGTTATAGGATGCGGACAATACATCTGTGGTTAGGTTAGAGACATTGAAATTTATTAGTGAAAATTTTTATAAAGTGTCCAAAGATTTCTTTACTAAATACGGCGGGGAATGGGATTTGGATTCAATTATTTTGGATTTGGTAATTATTTTATCATTTTTATGAGCAATGGGTGTAATATCAATCAATTTATTTAATTTCTAGTTAACAGCGATCGCACTGTTTAATGCCGATCGGCCTAATATTATACACAAACCAGTAATTAAGTGAGTATTGATTTAACAATAGAATCAATTAAAATTAAATTAATTGAATTTATTCTCCAATTATAGACTTTATCAACAAATGTATATCTTTCTACTTAAAAGATATCTTGGATTTAAATATAATGAATGGGAAACCAATGAGAAGTTTTCAATACTAATGCATTGTTTGTGTGATTTAAAAAACTTTTCAAATTTTGATCGAAAAATCCCAGAGAATTGTGTTTATAAACCGCCACNGTTTGTGTGATTTAAAAAACTTTTCAAATTTTGATCGAAAAATCCCAGAGAATTGTGTTTATAAACCGCCACCTCTAGTGTGTGAAGTATATGATCTTGAGCATTGATTATTATTTTCAATTGTTTTTATATTATCTTGTTTAAATTTTTCATAAACTACAACGATTTCTATTTTATTTTTATAAATAATTATTTCTGTTTATATTAATGTATTTCGAAAATTCGAAAATTCCAAATAATTCTGTTTATAGACCTGTATTTTGTAAAGTATATGAACTTGATCATTGATGTTGTTTTGAAATTATTTATATTATCATATTGTAATTTCTCATAATTTAAAGAGATATTTGTTTTGTATTTTAAAAATTATATTCTACATGTCTAATAATAAGGATTACTTAAGCATTTTATTATTTAACTTGTTATTTTATGTACCATTTCTTTGCGCCAAATATTAAATTTCTAAGTACTGTATTTAGCAACATGAATAAAGTATTATTTTAAGACTATACATTATTTAAAGTTTTATTGTATAAAATTATATACAGCACTACAGTATAGTCAATTAAATAAAACTTTTTTAAAATTTAATTGAATCTAATATATTAATTTAACTAGTAAGATCATAGGGAATTTTTAATAAAAGTTCGTATGCAAACTAAAGTATTGATCAATAAAATCATGTGATCCACATTGTATTTTATGTACATCGAGTGCATTCTGTCACAAAAGCCAATTATTATAATTACGAGGCTATATAAGTAGGTTTACTGAGCTGACACTATTNCATTCTGTCACAAAAGCCAATTATTATAATTACGAGGCTATATAAGTAGGTTTACTGAGCTGACACTATTTCATACATAGACAATAGCGCAGGTGTACCATGGTCATTTGCATACATTGATAGACAAATCTGTGAGATAGATTTGTTATGATTGCTACCATTTCAAAAAGATTGTAATTGAGTTGAGTATCACTAATTAATTTTGTTTATTATGTCGATAATACTTTACGTTGTAATTAATAATTCCTTATTATATAACGTAATTATAGCAACTAGATCTTAATATTGCAAATATAGTCACGCATGTTTAAATTGTACATGTCATAATATTAATTTATTTATATGCATAGCACAAATACCGTATAAATACCGTTTTATATTGCAATGATAAGAATCCAATACATGTACAGTAGATATCTATTTAAAGGTATTAAAACACTTGTTACAGTCAAGTAATTATATAGATGAATCACTTCAATATCACTGAATATTATATACAGTACTGGAAATCATTTGTATCCAAACTGAAAGTAATAACAATTATATGTGTTATTTAACAACAACACAACAATTGCCTAATTAAGTGTCTTTTGTATCTAATTTGAAGTTAACGATGAAATATATATTTATTTGATGTAAAATATACGAAAATAACACGAGAATGAGAGACAATATTAAGATATGTGGCGTTTGTGGGGATAAAGCATTAAGTATTGATATGACAAATTGATTTAATGTGTGTAAAAATTGATTATTAATATATTTATAATTTAGGTAATAATTTCGGTGCCCTTACGTGTGAGTCCTGTCGCACGTTCTTCAGGAGAAATGCCACCAGAGCTGAGGTAATGATAATTAGTTAATGAATAATATATTTATATATACTTTACTTTTAGCATTTTGTTTGTTATTTTAACAATCAATGTGTTGTCAATCAATTGACGCGAAAATTCTGTAAAAAGTGTAGAATTGATAAATGTTTTGCCATCGGAATGAAGAAAGTGAGTAACAAATTAATACATTGTTTTATTATTGTAATTACATAATGTATAGTGTAGTATTAATTATAATAATATTAATTAAAGTTTGATTTTTATAAAAGGGTTTGTTTTACTCACACAAAGAAAAGCAAAGTATAGTTAAATATGAAAGCAATCAAATAAGAGGCGAAGAGAGCAACAAGTGTTCAATGGATCACATCTCGAGTCTAATCAAAGGATTTATATTTAATTTCAATGAACAGGAAATGCATCGATTGAGACAATTGTTTAGTTCAACCGTTTATTTGAGAGATCCGGTGGCGAGGGTTACATCGGATCCGCAGACAATACCAGAAGTGAATCGTGTGTTTCAACACAGAA